CCCAGCGCCGAGACGCTTCTGAGACGCTTCTAGCCGTAACGCGGCGCGTCAGGTGGAATAGCTTCCATTGACTAGAGTGACCGCGATTGATGTGAACGCCGCGGCGCAGCCGTAACGCGGCGCAAACGGACCCGGTGGAATCTAGGGGTAAGAATAAAGTTCCTGAAGAGCGTGAGAATCATAAATCCTCTTCATGTACACGTATGGGAACTTTTTCCCTGCCAGCCTACCAGTTTAAAATCTGCATATTTCAAGGTTCAAGGTTCTTTATGTTGTCATAGTAACAGTGTAGTTATGCCGATGAAAATCTTAGGTCACAGGCTAACCTCCAACAGTGCAACAAAATAACACAAACATATAGTGCAAGTAAATACAAATAGTGAAATAGTGCAATAAGAGTCTATATGCAAGTATCAAGTAAGAGTTTCCATCGTTTCATACCTGGTAATCGTTCTCTGCAGCCTCCATGATCTTCACAAACTCCTTCGCAGTTGACGCCTCATTCTGAGAGAGGAAAACACACACGTGATTAATTACAGGTGAAAAAGACTGGGTCGTTTTTATGCACATTAAAACCTCAGGAAATACACAACCTAACATCTTCACACTGCAAACAATTAGGAAAAGTTACATCCTTGGCAATTTTTTGCCGAACATAGCAGCAAATGTAGACGTTAAATCATCTTTAATAGAAAAAACTGACAGAGAGAATAATAGGTTTAATGTATGAGACGTTAACAGTCATATATCATGTGATTTGAATTGCTTGAATGTCATTGGCTGATTTTATTTGACATCATATTGTTCATTTTCCTCAATTGTGTTTGTTTCCACTCACAGAAATGGACATGGACTCCTGGACCTCCTTGTGGCTCACCAGCTGCACGTTGCCGTCTTCATAGTAATGAACCTAAAGGAACAATGACAGGTTTAGTCTCTCTTTACTGCGTTCATAAAGTCCTGTAACTCAGAACAATAAAACATCAAGTGGGAGAAATACAAGCTGTGTGGGTGACACAAAGACATCTCAATGGATCTATAAAAACACTCCTAAACATGACAAACACACTCTGGTGAAAGGAGTGAAGAAGTGTGACAGAAATGACCCAAAAGGGACGAAACTGAACAAGCTTTTTTGTTCTGACTAGATGAAAAACACCAACTCAACGTTATACTGAATTTGTGTACGAATGACACACACCAAAACAAGCCTTTGTGATTTAAAAAAAGTACCTGGATTTTCATGATGCCTGCCACTTGGGTGGAGGAGGGGGAGACGGTGAACTTCCATTCTGACCTCCAGCGTCCATTCCTGTGCCGAGAGGAGGAAGCCACAAGGTGGTCATTGTTGTTATTGTATGACACTAAAACTAAATCACATACAATTGTTGAATCACAGTCAGCTGTTGATTCTTGTTTTTTTGTGTGAACATTATAAATCTTAAATCAAAATGTAACAATGGTGTCAATCTCTGTTTCATTTCCTTATCTGATCCTAAATTTCCCCCCCAGGTTCCTCATTACAGAAACAAGGCGGTACATGCAGGAACTGTGGGATCATCACAGAAAACTACCCATAAGCCCCGTAAAGTCCAGCAGCAAAGAGGATTGGTGCAGCTCTTATCCAATCAGATTAACCCGATCGGAATCAGCTCAGCGGCGCTCAGAGGCCCAACAGTCACGCGCTCAGGAGGTAAGTGGCAATTAAATTAAAGCCTTTAAGATAACTGGTACTTATCAAAACACATGTGGGGCTTTTTGAGCTTATCTAGTATTTCAACGTGTTTTTAAACTTAACTTTCATTTAAAAACATTGTTTGGGATTGTACCAGCACTTTTGGTCCTTCTGAAAAATTCAAAGATAACAAGTCTGTCATCTATTCTAAAAATAAACTAATAATCAAAGTTAAAAAATGACAGTTCATATTCAGTTACAGTCCAGTAAACATACCAGAAGTTTTTTGGTTGAAACTGATGGCACTCGATGCACACGATGATGGTTTGATGTCCGTCGATGGTTTTCCCGTAAATCTGAAGGAGGAAGAAAATACTTATTGTCTGATTTTAAATGCAAAAGGTTATTCTTTCTAAATGAAACAGTGGTTTTTGTTTACAGCTACGAAAAATTAAGCTCATACTAGCATGCAACTGAGGGACTGAAGAATCTTCTGCGTGTTGTATATTCACTGTAGAGCCTAACAAACGATGGGCCTGGCATGAAAAGCATCTTGCTAAACATCCTGCTGTCTCAAAATGGGATTCTTTTTGCCGTGACTCTTGAATAAATCCAGATTTTCATGGTTAACTAATACAGTGAAGGTATCTCTACGTACGGTGCAGACTCCGTTGGGGTAGTGCTCCTTGACGTAGCCCCTGACGGCTGAGTCCACGGCGCCCCTCCAGCCCTCCAGGGACCCGTCCACGTCCTGGGGCCGCGGGTCGCTCGCCTCCTTCCTCAGGTGGTCGAACTTGAAGGACATCTTGCTCTTGGGGTCCAGGACCCGGCCGTTCCCCAGGTCTCCATGCTCTGTGATTAACACCTGGGAGGAGGGAGGAGATGGTGAGGAGGACAATAAGCAGAGCGAGTGTGGAGTTTGTGCTAAAAACTAATGAAACAAAAATAATAAAAATCCGACCACCACCAACAAAGTAGATTTAAGATGTTTCAGTTGTCCAAGCAAGAATATCAGTGTTTCCCATACATTGATTCATTTGTGGCGGGCCGCCACAATTAAATATCGTCCGCCACAAATGGATCTCATTAAAAAAAAAAAAAATGTATTATTATTATTATTTTATTTTTTTGGTGGTCTAATGGATAGTGAGGTGGGCTGATGATCGGAAGGTTGCGAGTTCAAATCCTGCCTGGAACACCAATACTAGTGTGCCCTTGAGCAAGGCACTTAGCCCTCGGTTACTCCAGGGAGAATGTCCCTGTAATTGGTCATTTTTAGTCGCTTTGGAATAAGGCGTCTGCTAAATGCCTAAATTGTAAATTGTATTTATATTTTTGGGAGAATAAACCCCACAGATCCTCAACTCCGGTGTGTTTCACTCATTAACAACGCAGAGCAACAAGAACGTTGTCTA